AAATTTATTGATAAATCATAATTTGTCATGGAAAAAACACATTGATCAAAATTTTGAAGTAATATTTCATGGAATTTCCCACCGACTGATATCGTTCAGTTTATCAAAAACCGATGATTACATCGAATTCGTTTTGCGAAAAGTTAGAAGAATTATACCGAAGTAAAATCATTCGACCATTCTCAAATAGTTTTTAGCTAGTTCTCGAAGATCAATCTAAATTTACAGTATTCTCTATGCATATAATAACATCTGTATATTAACAGCACGATCACTGGACATCTTAATGCAGGGTTGAATTTCAGGTTTGCTGTAACGAATTATGAGATACAGAATGAGACTCTCGTAGGTCCGGTAAACTGGACCACATTTGCATGGGTTTTACAGCGCAGTAGATTTATCAGTTGTAGGAAAGATTTCGCAATTCTCTATCGTAAAACTTATCCTCAATACTTCAGTGAGAAACCTGAGGTTGGAAATCAGGTCATACTGACACTTCAGAGATTCCGCAATTGGGCTATTGAGCGTGGTATGACACCAATACTCCATGCTGGCACACTGCTTGGTATTATTGTTTCTTCTAGTACAAATTTATACTTTCATAAATAGCAAAACACAAATGACTGTTTATTCCAACTGAGAGATGATGGGTCATCTCTTACGATAGTTCATTTCCGCCTGCGTACCTCTAGAAACTACTGGAGCTATTCACTGGCGCTAAATGTTTTTTGTGTTCATGATCCCTACTATTTAAGTGAAAATTGTGTGCAGAGAATTTTTCCTCATGTAGTCTTAATATCGCCCTTCCTTTCAATAACTTTTTCCGTCCACAAGGTTTTTTGAGTGTTGCCTTGGATTTTAGTTTATCCATAGGAGATTCGGCTTTTTAAAGCCTATCGTAGTTGAAGGAAACTACTCGCAAGGAAACATTTTCGAAAAATTATATGAACAATCTCTTTCACTACAACATTATTCCATCATTTTCACAAAAAATTTTTATTCATATAAATTTAGGTTGGTATCGAGAATGCGGTATTATACCATATACACACGATATCGACTTTACGGTCTTCATCGAGGAATACTATAACAAATTTCCTGAAGATGTTATGAATAGTTCGTTTATCAAACTTAGTCTGCGATTCAACAGAGTGAGTTACAGCACAGCGTTGGTATCAGTAAGAAAAGGACAAATAAATGATGAATTAATTGGTTGATAAGGGATTTTCTGGTAA